GGCCTCATTCTGCACACCAAGCCTACTGCCAAGACTCACCAGGCCGTCTGGCATACACAAGCCCTGAATTTAACACAAATTGTTCTTTTCACAGTTCCTGCCTGAGCTCGCCGACGCGGAGCCTCTGCGGGCTCTGGCACTGATCCAGTGCTAGCAGATGCAGCAGTCGGCTCCACATGCGGACTCGGATGGCTCGGCACCTGCAATGGAGTGCTCCCCAAAATGTGGTTCAGCATAAGCTAAGCCAAGCCTTTGCACCAATAATCAGCACCCTATACTATTTAAGGTGATGTCAGAAAAGCGGCAACAATTAGCCATTTCTGAAATCGTCTGGGCCTCGTCATTCGGGTGAGGATAGGATGGTGGAGGCAATGCCGGTGGCGGCGGTGGCGGCAATGGAGCCATCTGTGCCGCTCGTCTTGCTGATGGGCGTGTGGTCTCCTCCGTGATCTCCGTCACCCTTGGCCCCGCCCCGTAGTGTGGCTCATCGAAGACCTCCGTCACCGTTGGCCCCGCCCTGTAGTGTGGCAGTGGCTCATCGAAGACCTCTGTCACCGTCGGCCCCGGTCCGTAGTTGTACTGTGGCTCCTCGTCGAAGACCTCTGTCACTGTCGGCCCGGCTCCACCCCACCACACGGAGCCTGCTCCGCCCCAGCAGCCTTTACCTTCCCAGGACCTTGGGTCCCATTTTCCAGCTGCAGACTTTCCGCCCTTCCATGACAAGTCCAACTCGTGGTGCTCCGAGGGCTTTCCGGCTGCGGACTTTCCGCCACCCTTCCAGGACCAGTCCAAGTAGTGCTCTGATGGCTTTCCACCCGCGGACTTTCCGCCGCCCTTCCAGGACCAGTCCATCAACTCGTAGCTGTAATGCTGTGGCACACCCTTGGACTTTCCGCCCTTCCAAGACCCGTCAGACTCATATGCCCAAGCTGCAGTGTGCTCAGCCGGCTGCCTCCCCAACGGTAGGGGCCGTTGGCCTAGGCTCGCCTCTGTCACCACATGGCTGACACCCAAGAGGTTCCGCACCTGCAGGGACATGTCAGAAAGTGACCTTCTTCTATAGATTCTTCAGATGTTCAGCTTCCTTCTGGGGTCTGGGCTAAGAACCTCCATGTTACAAGAAGCCTGTGCCTGTCACCTAAATGATGCCCTTTTGTGCAGAGACCCCTTCCCGGCCTCTCTACGCAGATGCCAGTTGCTTGTGGACCCCAGAGCATCCCGATCCCGGGCCCTGGATCGGCTCCTGGTCCTGCTCCTGCTGTCGCCGCGCCTCCTTCGTCGCCTGTCACGCGACCGCGAACGACTTCTGTCTGTGGCAGCCCTGAGGAGAGCTTCCAGCACTCGGCGAGAAGACATGGCAGAGTTCGAGAACCGAGCTTAAAGTCTATGACTTGCTCTGTTTCTCTCAATCAAGTCCTTGTCAGTAATTACCACACTGCCAGTGCAGAGAGCTCCAGGGAGCTCATTTTGCCTATGCCACATGCAGCAGGGAATGTATGCGAACCATAACCGCAGCATGCACATCTCCAACACAAAGCTGCTTCCTGCAACGAGCTCTCTCTGACCCTGCAATGAACAACAGCTGCACATTGCTTCACAATGGGTTTTCCAGAGCTAAAGCAAGAACAACATAAAGTCATACAACATAAGAGGATGCGAAGAACATGATTTTGATACTAGCTCTGCCTAGACTTAGAGCAGCATAAGCCATCCCAACTTCTGCTCTCAGCCCCCGACTGAAGGACGGCCCAGCACAGCTGTGCCCAGAACAGCTCGAGCCCAGGCAGAAGGACAGTTGGAATGTAAGTGCTGCTAGTGTGAGATCACATAGTAGGTGTCTGAGAAAGAAGGCCTGACCGAGTGCAACACAATATGATATCACAAAATAACATGCCTATGCTGTTTTCCTTGGGACTTGTCCTGTGCCAGGACCACATTTCTCCATCACCTGGCAGTGCAACAACAAAGACGCTGCCCTCACCAATCCGAGGCTGCCGAACATAGTGAACTCACAGAGGTCAGCAGTTTGCTTGGTCTGCACGACAAATGTTTAGTGGCTAGATAATCAAACTCCTGCTATCAAGAGGCACCTGCTCTGGCAAAAGCTGCTCGGGCTGTCTGCCACCGACGAACCTCCCCTTGGGACCTCATGCAAGAAACATCTTTGCTGCATCCCGCAATCATCCTAGCTCAAGCTGTGCTGTAGCACTCGAAGATCCTTCAACATGCCATGTCCCAAAAAGAAGACTGTGCCGGCCAGTGCAGGGCCCAAGCAGAAGAAGACTCAGAAGGCTACAGTTGCACTGTACGCACGAACCAGCTCAAAGACCAATGCTGACAGCGATCTTGTGCTGAGAGAAGATTGCTTGCTAGGGCCCTTCGGTTGTTGTCTCTTTTCCTCGTCTTCTGAAGTTTGCTGCGGTTCCAAGAAGCTGCCCTCTTCTTAATAGTGCGAGAGTATTATTGGCTTTCACATCTGGCCATGTCTGACACAAGTAGAAGGGCTTCACCTCAGACTTCTGTCGGATGAGCGACAGAAGCATGCTGAAAATCATGCAGCCGAAGCTAATCATCTAGGCGGACCTGATCATGAGCCCAAGCTAAGAATCTGAAACCGAGTATCGCTGTTATCTTTGCAGAAATTGGTACCAATTTCTGCCAACAAAAACAACCTCATCAGTCTAGAATGAAACCAAGCTGTGACATCGGCTCCTGACACTAGGCCCGGGATTTGAGAAGAACTTGGTACCAAGTACTGCTCAAATCCTACCTCATTGCTCCTGTTCACCTGAAGTAGTACTAACTAGGGAATTATTGTCCGATTCATGAAATAAAACCCGACACCCAGATGCCCCGATGAAACCCACGATGAAACCCACCACCCAAAAGCCGGCAGCACCACAAACTCACACAGTAATCCGAAGTCCTGAGCTTTCAAGGACAGTGCACCTCGCCAGTTCCAGGCAGCCAGAGCAGCTCTCGTCAAAGCAGGAATGTCCTGCAAAGGCATGGCACAGGTGCAGGAATGTATCAGTGGGGCTGCCCCTCTGACCTCCCGGAAGAAGCTCTTGAAGCTACTTACAACAGCCTCAGAAGTCTACTGCGAGAGTGCAAGAGCCATCGCCAGGAACATGTCATGTAATACAAGCGTTCTATTGGTGCTTGGGTTCGTATTTTCGGAACTAACTGTCCGTGCACCTCTGTTGAACCCTGTCAAGCTAGACTTAGAGGAGTTCGGAGATCGGGGAGCAGATCCACGACATGGCAGAGAAGAAGGGTGTGAAAATCGTGTGCCAGGACTTGCCCGGGTTGTTCATACACAACGCAAGCCCCATGGAGAAGTTCACCCGGAAGCTTGTGCTCTCACTTTTTGAGCTGGAACGAGACATCCTTGTCAATCGCCTTTACTCGGGACTCTGTGCGAAGCGTGCCACCAGCAGCAGACTCAATCAATGCGGGTCACCCAAGGCCAATGGACGCAAGTCCATCCTGGAGAAACTCAAACCCAGCAAGAAAGTGGTGGCTCGCCTGAAGTCCCTTCTCAAGCAGCGCGAGAAAGGCAGCTATGGGTGGCGTCCTCTGGCCGTGAAGTTCGCAGCTGCATTGGGCTTCAAGAGGAAGAAGACCTTGAGTGTCCAAACCGTGAGGCGCATGTCGAAGGAACTCAGCCACATGTAGTGCTAACATGCTTGCCCCCAGGCCCCTGTCCTGGCAAAAGCCCCGAAGCATTTAAGGAGGATGCTAGCATGTTCTTAAATGTTAGAAGGCTAAGGCCCTCTGCCAGGGCTCGGGTGGAAAGGGCAAGTTCAACTTCTCAGGTTTGTATGCTTTCTGGCATGTGCACATCGTCTAATTTACTCCCAGTATGTTCGAAGCACGACAGTCATGGCCGCAAATAAAGGCTATGACATGTTGCTGCAGGCCAGACTCGCAGCAGCTAATGTACCCAGACAGGCACTGGAAGTGCAGAAAGAACCGGGCTCTTGTTGCCTTGCCTTGTCTAGTGTTTCGGCTACAGAAAGAAAAGCAGCTCAACTTTCGGCCGACCACAGCTGATAAGAACCACCCTCAACCGTGGGGCTCACACCATGGCTCGATGCTCACGTCTGACGGAGAAGTTAAGCACAAATGTGTGACAGGTGTCAGGGAAGGTAATCTGCATGTGCTGGGTGTGCTGTGAATGCATTAGTTGCTTTGTTGGTTTGTTTTGGGGCTATGCATGTGCAGCCAGAATATTAGCTAAGCCTGTCCTTCACAGGGTGGGGTGGACTGCGATGTGGGCAGGGGATTTCAACATAATTAACAGGGGGTCGTAAACCTAAGTTTTCGAACCGCCACCCATGATTTCGAGACACCCAGCCATTTTTCGAGACACCCTTGAGCTGTTGGCAGTACTACAGCCACCCTCCCTTCCCTTCCACTGCAGAGGAGTTGCCGCAAATCATGCACATCGAAGAAGGCCTGCCGGCATCAAAGGTGGGTAGGGCTGTCATCAAACATTTGACTTATCTGGCACTGTGACAGTGCAGCTAAGCTTTCTGGCGCTGTGATAGCGCATGGTGCATGCTATTCTCTTTAGGAAAGACATCAGGCGCTGTGAGAGCGCACACACATGAAGATGCAGCGACTAAGACTATCGAAGCTCCAGAAAAAAGACACTGATTCAACCCGCAGGCCAGCCTTGAAAGAAAGCCGAAGATCGGGATGCTCAGGCCTCAGAGTGCATAGTTTTCTGAAGATGCATCACTGAAGTGGATTCTGTTGGGCACTAGCAACAACATGCAAGCACTGTGCTGCACAGCAAAGGCCCAAGACTTAAGAAGGTTTGTGAGTTCATGAAATACAGAGATCATGGCAGCTTCATCGAGCGGTGGGGTTCTTATTATGTCCTTGTCATCGATGCATATATAAAATATGCTCAACTGTAACTACTTTACCTTTGATGCAGAAATTTGAATCCATCACAGTTGCACAGGAACAAGTAGCATCACCGAAAAGCCATGTCCGGATCCGGGTGGGCCGGGTCGTCGAGCTGGAATGATGGCACATGGTGGCACTGGGATGATGATGAGGAGGAGGAGACGGGACAGGGAAAGTCCGGTTCCCAAGGTGGTGGAAAGGGGACCACACAGATGAAAGGACGGCAGGGAGGGATGGCTCTGCGGGCCAGGTTTGAGGATGGAACACAGGAGAGGACACGCTCCCAGGCTGATCGTGAGGCGATCAGGGCTCCACTGAAGAAAGAGATCAAGGAGCTCAAAGCACAGCTGGCGACGGTTCAGAGTGAAGCGGACCACACGGCCCGCGAGCTGGCCAGGTGCCAGGCAGGGCCGGGCAGGGAAATGCCATCATTCGCGGTTCCCAGAACAAACCTTTTCTTGGGCAGGGCATGAACGCCGACTTGAAGCACAGGGCCGAGATGGCTGAGGCCACTAGTTTGTGTTGGCGTTTTGCAAGTGAAACTTGTGTCCAATGCCTTGTTTCTTTCCAGGGCCGAGTGCGCAAAGTGAATCTGGACCTCATCACTGCCAAGTCCACAGAGGAGGCCTTTACTGCCCGGTTTCCACACAGTTTGAAGCTGATTCAGTTTGTGGTTTCTTGCCAGGTCCACTTGAAGTCGAACGACGACCTTAAGAAGCAGCTTCAGGCATGGTAGCCATGCACAATCACAGGCCATTCATCCTGCAAGCCCTTTTCTGAGGATTGCCAAAAGAAGGTCACAAGCCTGGAGGCGGAGTGCCAGCAGAAGGACACAATGGTCACAAGCCTACAGGCGAAGTGGATGAGCACAGAGTTACATCAGATTTCATTGTGCACTCAGACCATTTTCCAAAACAGCGGCAGGCCGACTTAAAGCAGCTGCAAGAAGTGAAGGCACTGCGAGTTCAATTCAGTCGACGTATAGGGCCATCCGGGAATCTGCCCCAGGAATCCAGAGACCTCCAGAACGAGGAGGAGCTCCGTGGAGCCAAGGCAATCAGTCTGGGCAACACAGTATATTGTGCATGGGTCGGCACAGCACACAATCTATCATGCATTGCAGAAGTGACAGGCCTTGCTGGACAAGAAGGAGTCGGAACTTCGCGAAGTCCAGGCAACGGGGTCAATGCAGTCTTGTTTTCACAGCTACTGCAATGTGCTGCTAGGAGGAAAAGGCGAAGTGGAAGTACAGAGCACACGAAATCAAGAGTGCAAGAAAGGCCGAACATCACCACCGGCATCACAACATCATGACTTCATTTGCTATGTCAGGAAACGGCTCGCATGGTTCAGGAGGACATGATGATCAGAATGGTCAAGAAGGCCTGGTGAGCGACATCACTGGGGCTCCCACCCTCCCGAGTGCATCCGCCAGGAAGAGATGATCCAGATCCTGCAAAGCAAGAACGACACAGCTGAGGCTGCACACCCATCAGCAAGCTTGCAGAATCACAGATGGTTTCGTCTCGAGTGCAATGCAAGGATCGCATCAAGGAGCTGGGTGTCCAGTCTGACGAGACAAAGGCATCAACCCCTTTTTTCTTGTGCCAGAACTATAAACTCCCGCCCCGGTCTTTCACTCACAGGCCCTGCTGCTGGATCTCTACGACTGCTACGAGGCTCTCGAGGCAAAGCTCGTCGATGCTAAGGAAGGATCTTGTTTACCAACTCCAATTTACCTTCCAACCCTCTTGAATTGCAGGCAAAGTTGAAGGCACGGGATGGGGCTCGGCTATCCCCGACATCACCGGTGCCCGACTCAATTTGATATCTCTCCCAATCCTACTTCTTTGAAGCCACCCGCTCACCAGGCTCGGGCCTTGAAGGAATCGGGATCGGAAGACTCTGACACCGAAGTTGCCGCAGCCTCAAATCAACATTATTGAGCTGGATATTACTATGCCGGAAGATCTTACTGTCCCTCCTATAGGTTTCTCGACAAAGTGACTCAGAAGACAGCTCTGTTGCAAAGGCAAGAGACTCAGAAGCACAGACAAAGCTGAAGTTTGTGAAACATATTAACCCTATTACAACTGTCAAGGCCACGGCAAAGCGGCCGCGAACCACAGGCAGGAACCTTTGCAGCCACGAAGGATGAGTGCATGCACCAACCATGTCTGAATCTATAGAGGTCACGATGATGCGACGTCTGCGAATGACATGGGTCACTGGACTGGAGACAGTAAACACAGACTGTGTCGAACTGGTCCTAGCTGTTCACAACTCTTCCTCAGGTGACGACGACTCCTCGAACGCAAGGGGCTCATTTAATTTCACACATGACGAATCAAATCATGAATCACTTGAAAGTTCAAGTTCTCTTGCAACTGTCAAGGCCCGAAGAAAGCGACAGTGACAGGTCAGTCGATCACAGGGCGCTGGAGGTATCAAAAGGCAGCTGCACACTGCATTGCACCATGTCGTGTCAAGTGGGCACTCTCACATCATTGGCTGACAGTTGCCAAGGCCCTGGCACATCATCTCGGACACATCGCGGGCGCCTAAAGCAGTGCCCTCAACGAAGTCCTGGATAACAGTTAGTAGGCTGCCATGCATAGTCATCACGACATTTAATTAAAACCCATTCTAATTCGCAACCTCCCTGACTCAGTTGCTAAGAGATGTGTTGCATAATTTGTCGATGTGTGGTCAATGATATGAGCTTCAACTCCACATGACTGCTCAGCCTAAAAGCATCTTGCGGCAGTTCTGGAACAATGTTCGGCAGCTCCCAAGTGGCAGGCAGTACACTCAGAAAATCACCGGCTTCCACTCCTCCCCACCCCCCCCCTTCCTTCCTTGTTCGACCCCCATCCCCCTCCATCCCCCCCATCCCATCCCCCCCCCCCCATTCCCCCCCATCGCCCCCACTCTCTCCCTCCCTCACTCCCTCCCATTCCCTCCCCTCATGTGCTGTGACAGCTTCTGCTGCTGCGCTATCACAGCGCCTTCTTCTGCGCTGTCACAGCGCCTTCTTCTGCGCTATCGCAGCGCCTGTGGATTAGTATGTGTGCGCTGTCCCAGCGCCTGTGACTCGTTGCACTATCACAGTGCCTGTGTGCACTGTCCCAGTGCCTCTACTGTCCCAGCACTCCCGGCCTCTTCCTGCTAGGATCTCGTCGCCGAGCTTGCCTGCAAGGCCCTGAAAGGATGCCTGTGGTAGACTTAAATTGTTCTGCTAGGGTCTAGGCTAGGGTTTCTAGTTTCAACAAGTTTAGGGCAATTTAAGGCTTTTTGGGTGGTTTCAGATGGGAAGTTGATGTGGCACCGGGAAGATTTACGAATAGTGGGTTGAGGTCCATTAATGATGGTAACCATGATCATGACAAGATTCAGCTGACAGCCCTTTGATATGAGCAAATCTGTGGGGATGGCCAAAATGCACTGAGAATCCAGCTGTTCGCCTACACCCACCCATGTGCCAGGTGTGTGTGCATGCATGTAGTATGTGCATCAATATATATATATATATATATATATATATATATATTAGCTTGTCAGCATGTTCTTTCACAGGCCCAAAAAACTCTGGACATCAGGCTCTTGGTTTCTTTCAACCACCTCTGAAATTTGCCAACGATTCTTCCAAAAGACAGTGGCAATAATGACCAGAAGCAGGCCGAACCTAAGATTTACGATTTCCCATTCTTACTTGGTACCAAGTAAGAATGTAAAATCTTAAGTGCACATATCTGAGGACTACATAACCATCCAGATTTGGAGCTTCGAAGTTGCCTGTCACACTTTGCTGCCAAGTAAAATTGTAAAGCCGTGTGTGAAAGCAATGAGAGAGATAGACTGGAAATGAAGGTTTTGAGCTTCTCGGTGGTGTTCGACTCTTACTGGGTACCAAGTAAGAGTGTACAATCTTCATTTTTGTAGAGGACTACATGATCAAGTACCGAAAAAAACAAACTATCACTTGCTATTGGCCAAACTATCGGTTGTAATGACTGTTCCTTTTGCGGCAGCCTGAAGCTCTGCGCATGTGTATTCTGTGCAAAGCCGTTTCAGGCTGTAAGACTCTGCTCTCGGCCAATTGTTTTCTTTACGTAAAGTTTGAATCACCTGTTGGCTGAGGTTTTGCTCTGTTCAAGAGATCCACCAGGTTTCACGCAAGCCCCTGCCCACGCTCCCGGTCCTGTGGAATCATGTCCACGTGCTCCAGCAGCCACTTTCGAAGTTCGGTGGCAAACTGGACGTCCTTCCGTTGGTCGGAGACGCTCAAATCTTTCCACGGCTGCCGCTGCTCTGGCGGGGCGGACGGGTTCAGCTGCATCCATTCATCATGGACCGCTGAGGCGGCTGCAAAGTCCGTCCGACCTGCGCCAGGGTTGACTGTGTCTGTGCTACCGCTTATAAACGGCTGCAGGCCAAAAATCACCCTCTTGAGTTGGGTCGCTCTAATGACTCTAGTGTCATTTTCTCTGTCCACTTAGCTGAGCTGTTGAGGCCTTGCAGGGTAGGGTTTGTGAAACATGGCTTCAACCCCCCGCCTTGGAGCAAGCACTCCAAAGCAGTTGCAACACCTGCGATGGAGTTGTTGTAGAAAAACTCTGGCTGTTCCTTGGCCGTGTTGCAGTCCAACAAATTGATCGCTCCGTCAGCCGTGGGATCACATGCCACCCAGGTCTCGCCGACCTGGACTTTCCACTTGGCAGTGGCTCCTTGTCCGTGGCATTCGAGCTTCCAGGCCTGGAACTGGGCCTCCACACACGCCTCAATGCAGGGCCGCAGCCACGCCATTGGTGCCATAGCGTCAGGGTAGGGTGCTCAGTCAAACGCCAGATGAGACAAAATGCTGCTGCATGTCGCCTTTGATGGTGCAACTGCCAGACTCTAATCTCGAACATGCCGACAAACCTTGCCAAATATTCTGAGCTACCGTGGCTCTGCATGGAAGGGCGCTCCTGAATGCCCGTCACCTCAGGTAATGATCATCGGCGTCTGCATTTAACTGGCCAGGTGCAGAAGGCCGCAGGGCTGTAGATGCCTCAGTGGAACAATGAAGAATCCAGCGGTGAATCACATGTAAGATAGCACGGAAACTGGGCTTACCGAGGGGTTTACAACCTTACAACCATGCACGACTACTTCGCTGTTCATCTCTGAGTCTATTATACACGTCTCACCCGTTTAGCTCCTGCAAAATGAAACCCCTTGCCTGGATTTCGCTGTGTCGTCACATTGCCCCGTGCTGAAATGGACTCGTCGTCATAGACGGAAACCTTGCGCTTAGCAATCATGGGGACGTCCAAGCACCAGACCTTGCAATATTTGGGTCGACGGGGTGACGGGGCATATGGTTGTCATCGGAACAAACGCAGTGGACGAGCCTTACTTGTTTTCGTTTGCTTAGGCCGAGTAACGGACTCACCTGTCGGCAACCCATCTGCCCCCAATTTGGGACTTGTGTCTTCTGCACGTTGATGTCGCTGAAGTCATGGCGCCATTTTTGATGGCAGCCGCGTTGTTCAGGCCTGTGCCACACTAACACAAAGCACGGTCGACGGAGGCATGTTTAAATTCGACTCTAATTGCATAATACATGCCATGCCGACGAGAATCGCTCGTAGGCAGGAGCCTTGGTCGTGTAATACTCGATGTAATCCTCGTAGCACATGGGATGATACTCCATGTTGGAGCTTCGGCGCACACCTTTCGTTTTGAATTGCT